TAGCACTTTGCTCTTCCCCTTCTCCTGTGCTTCTACTCTGTGTTTTACTTTAGATATTAGAAGGCTGGCATGTCATGGCTGGGTGGGAAGAAAATAGAGATGTGAGCTGCAAATCAATGCTGGGAGGAGGGAGTGGGAGAAGCTGAGCTGTTGAGTACTTTCTGGGAGGGGGAATAAGGCAGAGCTCTGCTGCTGAGTCATTGCTGAGAGAGGGGAGATAAGCAGAGCTGTGGAAATGAAAGTGAAAGTACCTGTTCTACTGTGGAGTAATTCATCCTCAAAACTCACATGTAGCTACAAAGAGTTTTGTTTAAAGTGGTCCTAAACCCTTAACATTATTTACCTCCGTTACGTCGTTTCAAAATTGAAGCCTCATGTCAGAAGACTTGAATGGGAAGCCTTTCAATGCCTCCCATTCAAGTCTATGATGACGCTCCTCAAATGCACTGTCAAGCGTATGCAGGGCAATGGCCGCGCGGTGGCAGCACGGTAATAACATTACAGTATATTTAGTTTGTGGTGTGGTTTTAATGCTTGTCAAATGCTTCAAAACTGCTCATAGGACGTTAGACTAGCCTTTTACGTTAAAAACGCTACTCAAATGCCCATACTAAAGCACATTAACGCCTGTCTAATGCCCAATAACGCCTGTCTAATGCCCAATAACGCCTGTCTAATGCCCAATAACGCCTGTCTAATGCCCAATAACGCCTGTCTAACGCCTATACTAAAGCTATAGGAGCATTTGGTAAGCGTTAGAGATTTAGTCAAGTGTGAAGAAGCCCTTTAGGTAGTAGAATTGCCCCACCCCCTAATACGTACTCACTCAATCCAGCGCTGTGCCTATCTATAGTGGCTCTCTACCTTCTCCCTACTCTCACAAGCTTGGATGGGGGCAGTGCTCTCGCTGCTGTCAGTCAAACCTGTGATGAGGGAGCGGGGCCAAGCCATGGGTGTGTCTATGGACACATGTAGTGCAGCTCAGGTGTGGCCCATAGAAAGTGGTTTGCTATGGGGGCACACAAAGGGAGGAGGAGGAGTCAGGTGCACCAGCAGGGGACCCAAGAAGAGTACGTCCTGGGCCACTCTACATGTTTTGTTTTTTCTAAAGAAGACTTTGCAATCCCTTATTTACAGATTGTTAGGAATCTTTAACCTCTTCACGCCGGCCGCACACAAATATGTGGCCTCCCAGAGTCTGGGCATAGACGCCGAGCGGCCGCATATTTGCGTTCTAATAAATAAAAACATATGTGCGGAGAGCGCGCGCGCCCTGCGCACTCCCAGCACACATGTCCAATGCTCACGGAAAGGTCCCGGTCTCCTCCTTCGATCGGGACCTTTCCCGATCATGTGACGACGACTCGTCACGGCGGTCACATGATCAATAAACCCCACCCCACCCGTCCCGCCTCCCGGCTTATGAAACTCTTAAAGGGCCGGGAGGCGCCGGCGTGAAGGGGTTAAATACTTGAACTTCCATAGGCCACAGTTCTGCTTTAAGTCCACCATTCCCAAATGTAGCCACGACCTTACCTTCAGACATTGCTAGAACCAGTTAAATCCTGGGACCATTGGCCAGGTCTCATAGTTGAAACTAAGTCATCAAACTAATAAGTATGACACATTAGACTCCCATGGTCAAAATTTCAGACCAAGTTCCAAAAGTCAAGAAAAAAACTTGGAGATATAGATATACCCCCTAAGAATTAAAGTATAAATTGTTTTCTCTAAATAAAGGGAACCAGGGGTGGACTGACCATTTGGAAACTCGGGGTCAGTAGGGGGCCCCATAAGATCCCCTGGTACCTTTTTCATAGGCTTTTTTGAGTTTGGGCAAGGACACAGGAGCCCCATGATCCCCTATTGCCCAGGGGCCCCATGAGTTGTCAGTCCGCCCCTGAAGGAAACTGATTAGTCTGATGTGCACCATCTAGGCAACGTGAAAAGCTGAAGCCATAGGTGAGTGTTAACAGGTATATGTAATATGGTGATCACCTCTACTAGGTTAAAGGATAAGTTCACCTTTTAGAAAAAAATAATAAATGCACATTTTTTTGCAGGTAAAAAAATGTGCATTTATTATTTCTGTCTGCAGGAATCTGGAAAGCATTGCACCAGCGATCAGTAGATTGCTGATGCCATGCATGTCTCCTGCAGACCTGTCAGAATATCTGCTTTTCGTACAATATGTATGAGCAAGCAGATATTCTGACAGGAAGAATGAATGAACTACCATGGCGCTTCACAGCACCGTCATAGTTCATTGAGGACTATTTTATTTCAGGTACTTATATAGCGCCCTCAATTTACGCAGTGCTTTACGTATATATTGTACATTCACATCAGTCCCTAACCCTCAAGGGGTGTACAATCTAAGGTCCCTAACTCACATTCATACATACACATACTAGGGCCAATTTAGACAGGAGCCAATTAACCTACCAGCATGTCTTTGGAATGTGGGAGGAAACCAGAGTACCTGCAGGAAACCCACGCAGACACAGGGAGAACATGAAAACATCAGGCAGGTGGTTGGGATTCAAACTAACAAGCCTAGTACTGCCAGGAGGAAGTGCTAACCATTTAGCCACTGTGCTGATAGCCGCTAAGGCTGTCGGGATTTGTAGTCTCTCATTCACAGATGACTGTAAATGACTCCAAATATCACCCAAACCGTCCTCTCCGCTCCTCGCATGACCTCCTGATCTCTAGCTCCCTTGTCTCTTCCTCCCATGCTCATCTCCAAGACTTCTCCAGAGCCTCCCCTATCCTCTGGCACTCTCTACCCCAATCTACCTGTCTGTCCACTTTTAGGCGATCTCTGAAAACCTATCTCTTTGGAAGCCTATCCTGCCTTCAGCTAATAACCAAATCTTCTATTTTTCCTATCAGTTTGTCCCAGGGGCAGACTGACCGTTTGGAAATTTGGGCACTGCCCGAGGGCCCGGGGTCAGTAGGGGGCCCCATGAGATGCCCCTGGTACCTTTTTCATAGGCTTTTTTGAGTTTGGGCAAGGACACAGGGGTTCCATGATCCCCTATTGCCCGGGGGCCCCATGAGTTGTCAGAACCGCCCCTGGTTTGTCCCCCCCCATTTATTACCTTTTGTACCACTAGCCCCTCCCTCCTAGATTGTAAGCTCCCAGGATCAGGGTCCTCCTATCCCTCTTGTATTGAACTGTATTGTTGCTGTATTATCTCCCATTATATTGTAAAGTGCTGAGGAAACTGTTGGCGCTATATAAATCCTGTATAATAATAATAATAATAATAATAATAATAGTAGTACAGACTAAAAACACTTCTTTGTCAAAAACATTTGAAGATACCCATTGAAGGAGTGGTCCACCAAAAACTGGTATGTCGGTGGTCAGTGGGTACAGACAGTTTCTTATATCTCCTGGGAATTCTATTACTGAGTTCTTGGGTCTACTATTCCCATTAGCGGAGGTTCCCACCATGGCTGTTGGACTTTTATATTATGGAGGATGTAGCCAGGTGGATGAAAGCAGAGTTTGGCAGTGGGATCTCACTGTTGGACCATCTAAGACTTATAAGTCAATGCTGACTTAGCCCACCAGGATCGACCGATAGCTAAAATATGCTTTTTAGACATGAGTGATTGGTTTCATTACTAATCAAAATTCGGGCAAAATGTTTGTTATTCTGAGATTTGGATGTATCTGAATTTCTGATTCACAATAGTAATGAATTTCAATAAATCCAAAATAAATTATAACGAAACTAATTATCCAAATTCAAAAATGAATTTGAAAATGAATTTGAACTCGAAATGGAAACATACAGTAAGGTATAAGAGTGAAATAAGATGATGATTCCTACTTAGGCTATAGAATAGAATATAAAATGAATAGAATAGAACAGTGGAATAGAACATCATAGAAAAGAATCAAATAGAAAATAAAAAAATTGAATAGAATTCATTCGAATTCGAAAATGAATTTGAATTCGAAAATTAGCTCAAACTCGAAATGGAAAATAAGGTGAGGAATAAAAGTGAAATAAGATGACGATTCCTACTTAGGCTGCTGAATAGAGTATAATAGAATAGAACAGAAAAGCATAGAATAAAATAGAATAGAAAATAAAATAATAGAATAGGATAAAGCAAAATAGAATAGAACCAGGGGCGGACTGAAAACTCATGGGGCACCCGGGCAATAGGGCATCATAGGGCCCCTGTGTCCTTTCCAACACTCAAAGCACACCCAAAAAAGCCTATAAAAAGGTACCAGGGGCACTTCATGGGGCCCCGTACTGACCCCGGGCCCCGGGCAGTGCCCGAGTGCTCGAATAGTCAGTCCGCCCCTGAATAGAACATAATAGAAAAGAATAGAAAATAAAGGAATAGGATAGAATAAAAATATAAAACAATTGAATTAAAAAAAAAATAGAATAGATTAGAATAGAATAGAATAAATTCAAATAGAACAAACATAGCTGTCTTCTGAAATTTGAATTTTGGAAGACATCTATATTCGTTCGATTCTATTTATTCTATTTTTTTTTTTTTTTATTGTAGTCTCTTTTCTATTCTATTCCGTTATATTTAATTCTATTTTATTCTTTTCTACTCTACCATTTTATTTGCTATCTTATTTTTTAAATTTCTGTTATGTTCTATTTTATTCCTTTATTTTCTATTCTATACTATATTTTATATTATGGAGGATGTAGCCAGGTGGATGGAAGAAGTCAAGGGCTGACTTTGCCTGGCAGGATCGACTGAACTTTAAAATATGCTTTGCCATGGACTGACTATTTAGAAGTTACAAGCTGCTTGCTACTGATCTTTGTATATGTTTTTTTTAAAAAAAAAAAATCCAGATTGGACTACTGTACATCCAAACCTAAATGTTTTTTGGGGTTTTTTTAAATGATTTTTTAGTTCGCTTTTTATCTGGTAATGGTGATTTTGATGGCTCCAATTCATAACAGCCCTCATTGTGGAATAACAAGAATTCTGTCCCACAGTCTCTAGTTGGAAAACACTTGGTAGCCGACATCCCGGGTCTTCATCCTGAAGTTGTAGTTGCCAGTTCTTCGTTGATGCCAGCAGACCAGGGCGGCGATGATAATGGCGACCACAGCAAGGACACCAATGGCAATGAGAATGATATAACCGGGGCCGAGTGTGGCATTAGCTGACGTGCCTGCTTCACTGCCTGGAAAGAAAATTCAAATACATATAAAATGAACACAGGGCTGAATATAAATAGCAGGGTGCTGTAACTGCAAAGGTGGCTTATCCTACAGGCGCAACTCAGAGGCGTACCTACAGGGATCGCAAGGGTAGCAATTGCGACCCGACCCCATGCTGCAGGGGGCACATGTGCTCCCACTGTACTCCTGGATAGGTGGAGCAGTGGCGGTGGCTGTATATAGAGGAATCAATCTCTCCATTTTCCTCCTACAGCTGCTGAATATCTGCAGAAGGAGATGTGGGCATTCAGAGGCTGCAGGAGGAAATTGGAGAGATTGGTTCTTCTATAGGCAGCTATCCCCACCACTCCTCCAGCCCCCCGAGCTCTCCGGTCCCTGTGCTCTTTTCTGGCACCTCCCCGTGCTCTCCAAATCCCATGCTCTTACTTGGCCCTCTCCATGCTCCTCGGCCTGCGTGCTCCTTCCTGCCCCCCCCCCCCCCCCCCCCCACTCTCTTCGACCTTCGTGCTCTTTGCTGCCCCACCTCCCCATGCTCTCCGAACCCCTGCATGCTCTTTTCTGGTCCCCCTTCTGTGCTCTCTGGCCCCCGTGCTCTTTCCTGACCCGGCCCCTGTGCTCTTTCCTGCCCCTCCCCCCGTGCTCTCCGGCCTCTGTGCTCTTTCCTGCCCCCTCCCATTGGCTGCTGTGGGGAATCTGTCAGATCTGTCAGGATGGAGAGCAGAAAGGGGTCGTAACTGTGTCATTTACCAGCCCCTTCCTTGTCTGAATGGAGAGTCAGTGATCTGTACCAATCACTGACTCTGTCCATTCATAACTGAAACCTAGTAAACTGAGTTTGTGAACGCAGTGGAATCTCTGTGCAGAGATTTTCCTATCCATTCATTCAGTGCACTGGAGGCTGCAGAGATGAGACTGAGGCCTGTTTCCTCAATCTCCTCTGTCTCAAAGGTGAAACTCAGAGGTCTGTTTAGACCCTGATATCTCAAAGGTGAAACGTCAGAGGTCTGTTTAGACCCTGATATCTCAAAGGTGAAATGTCAGAGGTCTGTTTAGACACCTGATATCTCACCAAAGATCCCCCCCAACAGGAATCCTAAAACAATTGTAAAATAAATATTTTGAAAATGGTAAAAAACAAATTATAATAAAAATAAAATAAACTACCGACACCAGTGGAGGAACTACCAGGATCACAAAGGTCACACTTGCCACACTGGCGTTCAACCACTGGGCTTGGATGGAAGGGCCCTCATCGAGGGTTGGAGGGGCCTTCATGGTTTCTTGCAAGGGGGCCCTGAAGGTTTTAGTTACACCACTGCCACAAATACTTTACTTTCTATTTACTTAATCCTGAAAGCACTTTTATTATGACAGTTTCTGAGTATGTGTTATCAGCACTGAGCTCAGGCAAGAGATTGAACAGCCTGACACTCAACCTGACACTCGGCTGTAATGGGAAAGTATGGACCCCTGAGTCCATCTCAGGAGCATGCTACACCTCTGCACTGCAAGGGATAGAATGTGAGCAAATAATCAAAATGTGCACCATGAGCTTGTAGAAATAAAAAAAATATATATAAATCAACCTCTAAATGTCCCTATATTTATTGGCATGAATGTGGTTTGTTGGTGACAACATGCCATTCTACCTTGTACCATACGACAGCGCCATCTTTTTTTTTTTTTTTTTTTACAGCTACAGTTGCAAGAAAAAGTATGTGAACCCCTTAGGATTACGTGGAGTTTTGCATGAATTGGGCATAAAATGTGCTCCGAACGTCATCTAAGTCACAACAATAGAAGAACACAGTCTGCTGAACATAATACTATACAAACATTAGATGTTGCCATGGTTTAATTGCACATAACATGTAAACATTCACACTGCAGGGAGGAAAAAGTATGTGCAGCCCTAGCTTAATGACTTCTCCCAGAGCTAATTGGAGCCAGGAGTGAGCCAACCTTGACTCCAATCAGTGTGATGATATTGGATGTGTTGCTGACAGCTGTCCTGCCCATAAAAAACACACACCTGTTTTGGGTTTACTGGTTTCAAGAAGCACTGTCTGATATGAACCATGCCTCGCAGAAAAAAGCTCTCAGAAGACCTACGATCAAGAATTGTTGACTTGCATGAAGCTGGAAAGTGTTACAAAAGTATCTCCAAAAGCCTTGATGTTCATGTGTCCACGGTAAGACAGACTGTCTACAAATGGAGAAAGTTTAGCACTGTTGCTACTCTCCCTAGGCGTGGTTGTCCTATAAAAATGACTGCAAGAGCACAGCGCCGAATGCTGCATGAGGTAAAGAAGAATCCCAGAGTGTCAGCTAAAGACCTACAGAAATCTCTGGCACATGCTAACATTTTTGTTGACACATCTACAATAAGGAAAACATTAAACAAGAATGGAGTACATGGGAGGACACCACGGAGGAAGCCAATGCTGTCCAAAAAGAATATTGCAGCACGTTTGAAGTTTGCAAAAGAGCACCTGGATGTTCCACAGCACTACTGGCAAAATATACTGTGGAGAGATGAAACCAAGATTGAGTTGTTTGGGAAGAACACACAACACTGGAGAAAAAAAGCACAGCACACCAACATCAAAACCTCATCCCCACTGTAAAACATGGCGGAGGCAGCATCATGGTTTGGGGCTGCTTTGCTGCCTCAGGGCCTGGATGGATTGTTGTCATTGATATGAAAATGAATTCCACAGTTTATCAAGACATTTTTCAGGAAAACGTAAGAAAATCAGTCCGCCAACTGAAGCTCCGCAGAGGATGGGTGATGCAACAGGACAATGACCCAAAGCATACAAATTCAACAAAACAATGGCTGCAACATCACAGAATACACCTTCTGGAGTGGCCCAGTCGAGTCCCTGACCTCAACCCCATTGAAATGCTGTGGCATAACCTTAAGAGAGCGATTCACACCAGACATCCCAAGAATATTGCTACACTGAAACAGTCTTGTGAAGAGGAGTGGTCCAAAAATTACTCCAGATGTTGTGCAGGTCTGATCTGCAACTACAGGAAACGTTTGGTTGAGGTTATTGCTGCCAAAGGAGGGTCAACTAGTTATTAAGTCCAAAGGTTCACATACTTTTTCCTCCCTGCACTGTGAATGTTTACATGTTATGTGCAATTAAACCATGGCAACATCTAATGTTTGTGCAATATTATGTTCAGCAGACTGTATTCTTCTATTGTTGTGACTTAGATGACATTCAGAGCACATTTTATGCCCAATTCATGCAAAACTCCACGTAATCCCAAGGGGTTCACATACTTTTTCTTGCAACTGTATAAGGAGTTTGTGGATTACACAAACTCAAAAAAATAATTAAAACTCACTTCATCCCTAAGTCTGCGCTACAATAACAATTTAAATCCACAACACCAAAATCAGTCTGTATATGCAGTAAAGCATGCTTGTTATACTGACTGTGGAACTTAAGGGGTTAATCCTCTGCATTGTGTAAAAAGGATGCTTGATCCTGTCTTCTCTGATCCTCCCCTTCTTCCACATTCTCCATTTCATCTCCTGATAGATCACAGCCTCAGAGACACACTGCACATGCTCAGTTTGGTGTGTAAACTCCAACAGTAACCAGAAACCGGCGCTCAAATGTCTCTTGCTGCACTCAAAATGGAATCGTGCACTTGCTGAGGTGCCGCCTATGATAGATTGGGGAACCTTGATACTAGCAGAAAAGAACAAAACAGGGTGCACTCTCCTCGTGCATTAACGCAATAACCAAAAATTTATTAGAAAGATGCAAAAACATACTCACAAGCCATGAAAGGTCATAAAAACAGAGACAAGAAGTCAAAGGTGCCAACACGTTTCAGGAGTCGAACTCCCTTCCTCACAGCTATAGATCTATTGCTCTGAGGAAAGGAGTTTGACTCCTGAAATGCGTTAGCACTTCACCCGATGACACATAGGGGTTTATTTACTAAAGCTGGAGAGTCCAAAATCAGACTCCCTTCTGCATAGAAACCAATCAGCTTCCAGGTTTCATTGCCAAAGCTTCATTGAACAAGCTGAGGTTAGAAGCTGATTGGTTTCTATGCAGAAGGGTGTCTGATTTTGGACTCTCCAGCTTTAGTAAATAAACCCCTATGTCATCGGGTGAAGTGCTAACGCATTTCAGGAGACATGCTGCATGACTTTGACTTCTTGTCTCTGTTTTTATGACCTTTCATGGCTTGTGAGTATGTTTTTGCATCTTTCTAATAAATTTTTGGTTATTGCGTTAATGCACGAAGAGAGTGCACCCTGTTTTGTTCTTTTCAGTTTGGTGTGTACTGCTAGAGAATTTTTCCTTTTGAGAGGGTGCATGTGATTAGTACAGGGCCAATCAACACTGTCCAGACAGAGGGTCAGGGGTTATGCATTCTCATAGGGCAGTCAGTAGAACAAAAACTTCTCCTACAAGCTTTAACCAGTGCTGAGCTGGACACTGATAGAAGTCACAAGACTGCTCTAACTGTTGATGAGGAAAGGTATTTAGCCGTTTATATTTAATAAAATAATTGCATTTCCATGTTGTGTGTACTGTGGGAGACCAGATATAGTGAATGCAGGGTCTGGGGAGACCAGATATAGTGAATGCAGAGTCCGGGAGACCAGATATAGTGGTTGCAGGGTCCGGGGAGACCAGATATAGTGATTGCAGGGTCCATGGAGACCAGATATAGTGTATGCAGGGTCCTGGGAGACCAGATATAGTGAATGCAGGGTCCGGGAGACCAGATATAGTGATGCAGGGTCTGGGAGACCAGGATATAGTGATGCAGGGTCCTCGGGGAGACCAGATATAGTGATTGCAGGGTCTGGGGAGACCGGATATAGTGGATGCAGGGTCCTGGGAGACCAGATATAGTGAATGCAGGGTCCGGGGAGACCGGATATAGTGAATGCAGGGTCCGAGGAGACCGGATATAGTGAATGCGGGGTCCGGGGAGACCGAAATATAGTGAATGCAGGGTCCGGGGAGACCGATATAGTGATGCGGGGTCCGGGAGACCGATATAGTGAATGCAGGGTCCAGGGAGACGGATATAGTGAATGCGGGGTCCGGGGAGACCGATATAGTGAATGCGGGGTCGGAGGAGACCGATATAGTGAATGCTGGGGGTCCGGGGAGACCGATATAGTGAATGCAGGGTCCGGGGAGACCGATATAGTGAATGCGGGGTCAGGGAGACCGATATAGTGAATGCGGGGTCCGGGGAGACCGATATAGTGAATGCGGGTCCGGGGAGACCGATATAGTGAATGCGGGGTCGGGGAGACCCGGATATGCAGGGTCCGGGGAGAGCATGCAGGGAATCCAGGGTCCGGGGAGACCAGATATAGTGAATGCAGGGTCCGGGGAGACCAGATATAGTGAATGCGGGGTCCGGGGAGACCAGATATAGTGAATGCGGGGTCCGGGGAGACCAGATATAGTGAATGCAGGGTCCTGGGTTTAGTGACACTTTAATAATGGATCTTCTAATATTTACAAATACTCATTGATGACTGTTTAGATATAAAACAATTTAGTACTAACTTCGGCTGTTCAAATGCAGAGGTCCCATCCGAGTGACTCCTGTGAAGACATTTTCACCGCTCCTCACGGACGCTCGGGAACTGCTACAAGACTGAAAATACCAGAGCAGGAAGAAGTTACATATTACTTATGGAGTCCTATCAGAGAACTTATTGTCATATGTACTGTACTGTATATCCTAAAGACTATCCCAGCCTCCCCCCATCCTTTTTAGAGTGAGTTTAGTGGGGAATCAGTTGCTGGATTCTTATACCAAGGCTTTTTTTCAGTGGGAGAGCAGGGGAACGCAGTTCCAGCACCTCCAACACTGAATGTATGTTAATGGAAAGTGATTCTGGGGTGCGCTGGAGGGTCTATATTGATGCTAGTGGGGGATCTGTTTCTGCTGGGGTGTCTATTGTTGCTGGTGGGGGATCCATTGTTACTGAGGGGGTCTTATGTTGCTGGGAGGGATCTACTGTTCAGGGAGAGGGCTATTGATGCTGGCTGCTGGAGGGTCTATGGATGCTGCCTGCTGGGAGATCTGGGGGTCACTATTGGGGTGGATCTATTATTGTTTGGGTTGTATTTTTTTGTGGGGGGTCCATTGTTGCAGGGGGATCTATTGTTGCTGGGGAAGGTTCTATTGTTGCTGGCTGCAGGGGTCTATTTTACTGTTTTGTTTTTTTTATCATTAACAATTTCCATACAAATTACTTAGCACCACAAAATAATACTTGGTTCTATATTTTCCAAATGGAGTGGTACTGGGAGTTTGGTAGGGGGTGGAAGCAAGGGACGATGATCAGAAGTGGCTAAGGGGCAGAGACAAGGGGGAGTTCCTGCACCTATTCTCTGGAGTAAATCTGGACAGATGTCTTTTTTGGAGATATACTGTAAGCAGGGCTTTTACTGCTCAAACATGGAATAAGTGAATTACACTTTTTATTAAGGTCTTAGATAGATACTGTAGATAGTAGCTGGATAGGTTCTCCCCTTCTATTGGCCTTGGTGATTATGGTTATGGCTACTGGAAATTATGAAAAAATCCAGCAATTTAGTTGTCATGGGCAGCGGCGTCCCTAGGCAGGTGTGGGGGGTGCACGCCGCACCGAGTGACACCTATCGCACGGGGTGACAGCGGATCCTCTCCACCAAAAGGTAAGTTTAAAGCAAGCCGACCATCCCCGCAGGATGGATCGGATCTGCGGATTGAGCATAATGGATCGGAGTCCGATCCATTATGCTCCCCAATCAGCAGATCTGATCCATCTTGTGGGGATCGTTGGCTTGCTTTAAAACTTACCTTTTCATGGAGAGATCAGTTAACCCCGTATAGGTTGCAAGCCGACAATCCCCGCAGGATGGATCGGATCTGCAGATTGGGGAGGATAATGGATCGGACTTCGATCCATTATGCTCAATCCGCAGATCCGATCCATCATGCAGGGATCATCAGAGGGGGTGTCACCAAGTGTTACCGCACCGGGTGACACCAACCCTAGGGACGCCCCTGGTCATGGGGACATCTCTTCCAGTGATGCAGTGCACTGATCAATTACTCTTTATTTGGAAGCAGTGGTCTCTCTGTAGAGGTCTAAGACGTCTTCTGGTGAGTCAGACCTATAGCTCTACAACCAGCAAAGTTCTCCACTTCCATCTTCCTTCTCAACACATTCTAGGTATACATACCGGTTTGCAGGTGTTAGGTATCACCTCCCGACACACAGACAGCCGGCAGTGCAGGTATACGATAGGATTGTTGACAAAGGAGAAGATCTTTGTTTGGAAGGTAGCATTGCTGGAGACGCCGTTCGTCTGGATGGTGGTGAAGGTGTTCGCCAAAGCACAGCTTTAAAGAAAAATGTAAATGAATGATCATCAAGCACAGAGAAGACACAAACCTAAAACCTTTGCAGAAGTCCCAAGCTTTCCTCATCCCATTCAAAATTAAAAGCAGAAATATTTCAGCTGGAGGTAGACTTTAACATTAAAGAGAATGAACAGGGGGAGGAGGTCACTACCTGTCTTTGATGAAGGGGAACGACACAGGACCATAGGCATTTTCTGTTGGTGTTGCCCAGCATTCGTTGATGACAACTTTGAACTGGTCCTCCTCTGTCCTGATCCATATTCGGACCGTTATGTCATCTGTGGCGGAAAGTGTGAAGTTTGTCGGGATGGGCTGATCGCCAATGAATAGCTGGAATTCTGGAAAGAATGATCCTCCGCCTTCTAGCTTCTCGATGATGGTGTAAAACCTGAGGAACCACAAGAAGCTCAAGATTCTCCTGTGTGTTGGTAAAGAACCAGAGACTGGGAGATTGAATCTGGTCTCTGATACATTGACAAGAACCCATTTACAATTGTGATTGCACAAAAACAGCAGATCACTGCAAAACCACACACTCAGAACTGAACCAGGCATCCAACAAACCCAGAAATGATGCCTGTAGAAGATTCCTCAGCCATCTTAGCTCTTCGAGAGCATGAAGACCAATGGCATGGGTGGAGGGTTGGTATGAGCAAATCTGTCTGCATACAGTTTACAGTTTCTCGAATGTTGCCCAAAGTTTGCAGCAAGCCCAACTGAAGTCTATGGGTAGCATTAACTTTTGGCCATTTGTGCTGATCAGTAAGCTATTGTCAAAAAAAGACATGGGAAACTGGGACATGTATAAATGCCAAACCACTTGCCAAACACAATACGTATATATATATATATATATGGCGGCACTTTTAGGCCAGCCACAGATGAGTCGAAAACCAAACGTTCTGTCGAACAAAAATATCTTGTACATTTGTGCCATCATTTGTTTGGTTTTCTAAAAAAAAAAAAAACAGCATGTTGGATCAGGCACTTTCGACTGAGGCACAAATATCGAGTGTTGACAATCGACTTGAATTTCATTCGGTTTTCGATACATCTATGGCCAGCTTAAGTGGTAATACTGGGATGATGGCTGTAGCTATAGGCACCATCCAGGTATTGTTTTTCTCAGCCAGTGATACCCTTTTCTATAAATGCCATCTTAGTGTCTAATAAGCCGCTGCATTGCTTTTGCAGGCTGGGGGAAGGGTCGGACCCCTCCAACCACCCTTCTGGTGCTTCTCCGGGCTCATCTGTCCCACAGGTGAGGCCGAACTGAAGATGGTGGGATGTGAACAAGTCATTTTTGAATTGTAGAAAGCTTATGATCAAACCAATCTTGGTTTGATCAGATGCTTTCAGGGCAGATGAGAGATATGGGGTCTAATAGACGCCAGATGTCTCAGTAAGGAGGACCTGTCACTGCCTATTGACATTACAAGGGATATTTACATTATAATAGCAATAAAAGTGATAAACAAGTAAAGGGACCCTGTAAAGTAAGTAACAGGATAAATTGTAATAACATTTTTTTTTAAAGCACCCATGTCCCGTCATGCATGCATGCAAAGATGAATGCATACGCAAGCCGTGCACGCATATGTGTTTGCACCACACATGTGAGGTATTGTTGCGAATGTTATAGTGGGTGCAATAATTCCAGCACCAGACCTCCTGTGTAACTCTAACCCTTTAACCTGTAAAGGCTTAAAAGCATCGCCTATTGAAATTTTTAACTACCATAGTTCCTGTCCAGTCCATGTATATATAAACGGCCGGACGGGAGCAGTGCAGGAGTGGGTTGCCGTTGATAAATGGCGCTTGCCATTTTAGCCTGTGCGCGCTCCCTGGGAGCGTGTGGCACTGCGATCCGGTGCCCGTTGTGTCCGATCGCTGTATGGGACCTCTGTGTGAGGTCCTGATCATGTGATCACTGATTGGCCAATCAGTGATCACATGAATAGTAGTAAGCAAAATGTCACTTCTGACATCATTCCTTACTACGTATGAAATCTGTGAATGACCAGAGGTCACATGGTACTAGGCTATTCACAACAGCCTTGTACCATGTGACAAGCTGTGACCAATCACAGCTCTCACAGTATTTCTCAATGGCTGCAAGAATGCAGCCAGAGAGAAATTGAAATTATTGCTTTTACAGCCTTTATGAGTGTAAAAGCAATCAGTGTAAAAAAAAAAAAAAAATCTTCATCACCCCCCACAAGTAGTACAGTGTCACTATGATGTACTGCTAGGGTGACAGTATGTAAAAAAACATAAATAATATAAAAAAATAAAATAAAAATGTAAAACAATTTTTTGAAAAATTATAATTTTTGGTTATAAACTAATTTGGGTTATTTGTTTTTACTAAAAGGATAACTGAATACATTTTGGCCAAGTTTTATGAAGAAAGATCATTTATTTGCAAAATTGTATAAGAAAAACACTTTAAACATTTTTTAACATTTTCATTTATATAGTATAAAAAATAAAAATTCCAGTGGTGAATAAATACCACCAAAATAAAGTTTTAATTGTCTCAAAAAAATGCTAAAAAAATCATATGGGTACAGTGTTGCATGACCACGCAATTCTCATTCAAAGTGTGACAGCGCTGAAAGCTGAAAATTGGCCTGGGCAGGAAGGGGGTAAAAGTGTCTGGACTTGAAGTGGTTAAAGCGCAACATGTTTGGTATCTATTTTCTCAACGTAACATTATCTTTTATTTTTTACCAAACAATTGGGTATCATATTGTGTTTTTGTGCATTAAAATCTATGACTAGGCCCCGGTGGGTGGGGCAAAATGCATCAAGGTGTGTGGTTTGGTGGAGACATGTAGGCTGAGGCCACTCCTTATTTATTCACCTGGGCTGGTTGGGAATAGCGGCGATCCTTTTCTCTTTACATTTACTGGGCTCTGTATTGCTTGATTTGGTGGTGATGTCCATGTTGACAGGAAGCATGAATCTAGAAATTCTGAGCTGGGACCAATCCAAAATGGCTTCAGTGTGATGGAGGTCTGTGTGGCCTGTAGTGTTGTGCATGAAAAAGCTAAACGTGCTTTTGAATTGTTCATTTCAGATTGCGTTTGAGAACTTTGAGTGAGGGAATTTGAACTTATTTGCCAGAATATTATGTAGTTTACTTGCGCTTTAAAGAATTATAGCACAGAGAATGACAATTGCTGATTGGTTGCTTTAATTTAAGGTGGTCATAGATGAGCAGATGTCTCAGTTTGTGTGACGGGCATCTCAGCTTTCAGTTGACAAGAATCTCATTACCCAACAGAAATGAGATATCTTCATCGCACATCAAACTGGTATAGAACCCTCTCAATATGGAGGTTGAAGCAAGCAGTGGTAGGCACCATATTCAGTAGAGAAAAAAAATGTTGTCAGCACACCTGTTTTGAAATGCTGAATCTATAACTTTATTTATGCATAGTGACAGGTCAATGCAACATTTCAGTATCACATTTCAGAATCATCAAGGTCAATGTGACATCAACATGATGCCGACCACTGCTGCTTCAATACCCACCACATTTGATTCAATACCTATTTGGTATGTGATGGAGATATGTCAACAATCCGCAACAGTATTGGTCTGAGCTGACATGCAATAATGGTTCCCATCAGAGGCAGACTGACAACTCATGGGGCCCCCGGGCAATAGGAGATCATGGGGCCCTTGTGTCCTCACCCACACTCAAACTACACCCAAAAAAGCCTATGAAAGGTACCAGGGGCATCTGATGGGCCCCCCCCTACTGACCCTGGGCCCTCGGGCAGTGCCGGAGAGCCCGAATGGTCAGTCCACCCCTGGATCCCATGCCATGATAGAAGAGTATACTGTTTGCAACAATACAGTCTCTTGATGGTTATATACAAACACTATCATGCCATAGGAAGTATTGGTCTTTACCCTATCATTGCATGTGATGCTGGATTATAAAACATTTTTTAATGAATCTGGTCCCCTAGATGCATGCTGCTCGATATACCATACTTATCTGTGTGGAAAATGATATCATGATACTACTACACTTATCGCTGAAATACATTACCCTCCAGCAGGATTGTATCCACTGGACCACAGGATGCTATTCTGGAAGATGCAGCGGATAAGGCTGACTGCCCTTGGAGTGATGTTTGGCATTGTTGCAGATAAATCAATATACAGGGTTGAGTTTACCACAATGTGAGTCTTATTCTGAAAAACCAACATAATACGAGCATGAAGAAACCTAAATATACAACCTGCTCAGTTACAGTGTATACTGTATGGCCAAACATTGGTGGATACCTGACCATCACACCTCCTATCAGTTTGGTGGACCTGACCATCACACCTCTATGAGCTTGTTGGACATCCCAATTTAAAACCAAGGGAATTAATATTGAGTTGACCCCCCTGTTTGGCTATAACAACCTCCACTCTTACAGGAAGGCTTTACACAACATTTTTGGAGCCAAAAGAACATTTTGTGAGAACAGGTACTCACAACCAACATTCCTATTCTTGCTAAAGGTGTCCAGAAGGGTTGAGGTCAGGGCTCTGTGCAAGCCACTCAATTTATTCTACACCATACTCATCAATCCATGTCTTTACAGAGCTGGGTTTTGCAAAGGGGCACAGTTCCACCGAAACAGAAAAGGGCCTTCACCAAAAAGTGTACCACAAGGTTGGCAGTGGACAAATATCTAAAATGTATTTGTATGATGTTGCATTAATAGTACTCTTCACTGCAAGCAAACTCAATAATTTGGTTGGTATTCCTGATCACCTCTGTGGATTACAGAACACCTCACCATGTTGCGGAGATGAAGAGAGGGGAAGGTATTCTGCAGTCCAAATCAGGAGTGAGCAGCCTAGGGTATACAGTGGCCTTCACACAGCCCTGACTCACATTGAATACCTTTGGAATGTATCAGAGTCCTAACTGCAAGACAGGCCTTCACATTCAACAACATGCACGAAAAGAAGCCAACACACCAAGCAAATATGCAAACACATTGATGGTATCACTTGTGAGCTAAGAGTAATGCAGGCCATAGACGGGTCATTTATCGGACGAATTTTGTTCAGCATGCAAAATCTGCCGATATTCACGCCGTTAGTGGGGCAATACCGTTGGCCGTTTTTTTTCGCGGATCTTCTCGTTTACTTTTATCGGTCATGCTGGAAAATCCACAAAAAAGGCAGTTTTTCATGGACATTGGTGGCAGCATCGGTGCCAGCAACGACCGATTTTGGCCTGTCTATGGCCGGTCTAAGTAGTTGGTATAATGTTCCCTGGGTTGAGCAAACTTTTCTGGCACACATAACCAGTCCAACAGTACAGTGAGAAACAATGATGTGTTTATTGGGGCTATTTACAGGTTCTGTACAGTGCTCCAATAATAAACAGTTCAAAAACTTTGAAAAAAAAACCTTAGCTGTGCAGCAGAACTAACCACACAAAAGGCAATCCTCACTATCAGACTGTCCAAGACTACTGTTTGTCAGCCTTCACAGTTTTGACCAACCTTTTAGCACAAATAGACGTGACCTATCTGTTCCCCAGGCCCAATGACACTATGCTCCAGGTAAGCCTAATGGGTTGCAAGGGAGAGGTGCACCATCCGCAGTGGATCAGCAGAGCAGAGAACCCGAAAGGTATATGGAAAGAGCCTGGGAGAGGAGTAAATCCCAAACAGGACTTTTTCAGGATCCCTGCAGGACACTCTGCTATGCACTGTTGGCAGAGCATTCTGAATGACATTGGTGGTTTGGAGGCAGTGCAATACATACTGTTGCTTTTAACATCACTATATAACTTCACAAATATGGCTGAATGGGCCAAAATGCCCACTGACAGTTACCAAAATTTTCTAGAAAGTCTTCCTGGAATATCGAAGGTTGCTACAGCCACAAAGGGGAGACCATCTACGTATTAACGGTTTTGGAATAGGCAATGGTAATGGTCATCTCTATGTAAAGGTAAATGGTAAGGTGACAAATGTAATGGTCGGGTGTCCACAAACCTTTATCCAAAATATATTTTAGAGATTTATAGTTCAGATACTTTTGATTTTTAATTACATTTTATTTCTGTTACCTTCTCTACTGAGAAAAGTATGTAATATCTCCCACCCACCATATGTATTTAAACTACCAACAGCATAATACCCCAGGGTGGGGACACATTTATAAACATCATACATACTTCAATGTCTGTCCAATTTCATATGTCTATTTGCTGTGATTCCAGTGTTTCTATTACACATACACATTAATTTTAATATGGAATGTATTAAATAAAATATAGATTTTTTTTTTTTTATAAGATGGGATTGATTTTATGGCATAACTCAAAAAGTCCCAAGTGCATTTTTTTCTCTATATATTGATACTTTCAAAAATATTCCTCCCGTTTAGGGTTTCTGTGATGTATTTTTGAAGTTTTAATGAAGCTTAGTAAATGCCCTGTGTGTGTTTATTTTCTATTTGTTTTAAAGGGGCTCAGTAGCACCCTGGATCAGTAGTACCCATAGCTCAGTAATACCCCCACTCAGGAGATCCCCAGCTAATTAGTACATTAAACAGATCCCTCGCTCAGTGGTAACCCCCAGCTCTGCTGATCCCCTGCTCAGTGGTAACCCCCAGCTCTGCTGATTCCCTGCTCAGTGGTAACCCCCAGATCTGCTGATCCCCTGCTCAGTGGTAACCCCCAGATCTGCTGATCCCCTGCTCAGTGGTAACCCCCAGATCTGCTGATCCCCTGCTCAGTGGTAACCCCCAGATCTGCTGATCCCCTGCTCAGTGGTAACCCCCAGATCTGCTGATCCCCTGCTCAGTGGTAACCCCCAGATCTGCTGATCCCCTGCTCAGTGGTAACCCCCAGCTCTGCTGATCCCTGCTCAGTGGTAACCCCCAGCTCTGCTGATCCCCTGCTCAGTGGTAACCCCCAGCTCTGCTGCTCCCCTGCTCAGTAGTAGCACCCAGCTCTGCTGATCCTCCACTCAGTAGTAATCCCCAGCTCTGCTGATTCTCCTCTCAGTAGTAATTTTTAGTTTTGCTGATCCCCCTCTCTCTCTCTCTGGTCCCCACTCACCTCCTGATATATTGCTCCCATGCTGCGCACCACGTGTGACATCTGCTAGTTTCTCCTGCTCTGGTATGCCAGCTCTGCTGATCCTCCACCACTCAAGTCCTCTCTCTCTGGTCCCTGTTCACCTTCCGCTATAGCGTTTCCATGTTTCGCACCATGTGTGCTGTCTGCTAGTTGCTCTTATTTGGTCCAGACCCTGTTCACCTTCCTGCTGCTCTATGCTAGACACCAGATGTGACGTCTGCACCAGACACTCCAATATATATATATATATATATATATATATATATATATGTACACATGAACCGGATGTGACTGCTGCTGACGTCTTTCCACTTCACTTGTTGGTTTCTCAGTGCATCCTGGGATATCTCATACTTCCAATATCACCAAAACATAGTGAAGCTAACTGAATACATGTTGTAGGTTCTGTTAGTGAGTGTTGTGATAGACTTCTATGGAGGCTTGGAAGATTCTTTGAAACACCAAGAACGTGACATGGGGTATAATATTTTAAGCAAAGCAAAGTGAACAGTGTGAACAGGACTGCAAAGTGACCATTTTATTTAGTTATAGGCGCTTTGGCATTCAAAACACTTTAAAAAAAGTATGTCAAAGGCCACATTTTGAAGCAAATGTAAATGAGGTCCTAAAAGTCAACAGCCAACACTTGATGCAGCTGGTTTTAAGTCCCAGCTGTCACTGGCAGCTCGGGTCCCTGGATCATGTGATCACTGTGTCAGACATGAAGAGCAAAAAAAATGCCTACAGACACACTTTAAAGCTCCAGGTTTGAAGGACACTCACATTAAACACATCCGTGTTGCAGTCATTCCATCCAGCGGTTATGAGGATGTGGGTATCTGTGCTGCAGTTCACAGAGCACTCAGGGCTTCCAAGAAACAAAGAATGGCTGGAGATAGACATCATTTTCAGAAAGGCCTTCTCAATGGAGATACCGATCCTCCCCGTCTCACAAATCACTTTGCTGGCATCTTTTAGAGTCAGGCTAGGGGCATGCTGTGTAGTTGTACTCTGAAGGGTCAGGAGTGAAGTACTGGTAGATTCTGTGTAGAAGGGAGACCTTTCATTAATACTGATAGGAACAAGCGCACGGCTCTATTCTGTGCAATAGAAATACAGAGGAGATATTGTAAAATCTAAGTAGGCAAGCATGGAAAAAAAAAATCAAAATCACAAAAAACAAAATATATAGTCATTGTTTCCAGAGAGTATGGAACAGTTGAGCCCTTCCCGTCTGCCCCAGTGTCCTAACAGTTGTGCGCACAGCACAAAAACCTATACTGCACATACCATAGACATGTACTGTATGTGCTGCATGTGGGTGGTAGCCTCCCTAGCGGTCTGATTATGTCCATATTTCTGTGCTCAAAGCGGTACATTTTTGTGCATGGAAATATGTATTTTTTTTATTGTAGGCCTGTAATTTTTAGGAATAACTCACTGAAATCAATCCGAACAAGAGTCTAGTAAACATCCCGGATATGATAAAATTTGAAACACGAAATTATAAATTATAATATAATAAACAATCATAAAAAAAAAATATAATAATAAATGTAATTAAATAATATAATCAAACCAAAAACACTGAAATTTGAAATATAGCGCCAAGTTCTCACATCACTGAGCAAAGTCGCAAAATCGTTTTCAGTGTCTGATGACGAATTTCCCCCACAAATCATTATCACTCAATTCTGCAAGTGGTTCTGATTTACTATCGCTGTTCTCTAGCCGGTCTAAAACCGCTTTTGACCTAAAGGGACCGCTTTTTGGACACCATGGATGTTTCTCAGTTTCCAGGCAGAAAGAACAGTAAAAATGCAGGCAGGGCGCCGGACAAAGCACTTGGGACAAAATGTATGTGAAATGGTTTGATACAGGAATGTTATACTATGTGATTTTACTGTATTTAGTGAATGTCACTTTTACAACTTTCAAATTTCCCGCCGCTCCGTTCCCCGTACGTCCCGGCGCTCGCAGGGGACAGAACCCAGAAGACAGATGCCGGGAGCACAGGACAAGGTAAGTGAAGAAGGGATCCCGGAGCAACGCCACAGGGTATTCCCAAGTGTAGCTCGGGGTTACCGCTTTTGATACTGAAACTTTACCACGAGCTACACTCGGGAATACCTCCAGGGAGGTTAAAGCCTATCTCCTTTGTGTCGTTGTACACATGGGTTATGTAGCACCCCGCTAAATAGGTGGTTGCTACTAAGGTTTAGGTAAATGTAGCTTATTTGGGGTCATTTGTAGCCAGTGGAGCAGTGTGTGATTATTTTAGGCTGGTTTCATTGGCTGCAGGCTCAAATGCATCCTCTTGTCTTCTAGTGAATTCTAGAATGTAAGGGGCTGGGAGATGCAGACCCTCAACCTGAATATTTATGTGGTCTCGGTCAATCCCTGGGGGAGGATTCCCAGTAGGTGGCTGAGGAGTGGATAAATAATCGGGTGCTTGGAGCAGCAGGGTTCTTGTCCAGGAGAAGTTCCCAGCCTGAAGTACTGCTGCACTTCTGGGCAGTACAGCTGAAATTTACAGGAGCTCATCAAGGTCCCAGCTCAGCTAGAGCTGGAGGGCCTATTTTCTGAGAATAGCTGGAGCTGAACAAGGCATTCCATTGAGGATCTGGTCTAGGAGTTTATGGGAGAAATGTCTGTGTGATATTGGAAAGAGGCATCCAAGTATCTGGGGACATTGTGAGTACAGTCCTGAGTGTAGGATTCTAGAGACTGTTTGCTACTACTATCCCTTTGTGCTTCAGTGCCAGTGCTCGTTTTGAGTGGGAGGGAGAGTTCTGCTCATTCCCTTAGAGACTTCTAGAGGGACTGTACTAAGAAGTTTAACCCCTTTGTGCCGACGTCACACAAATATGCGGCCTCACAGAACTGGGCTTTTTTTTGTGGGGCCGCATATTTGCGTACCTGTCTTTCTGCTGGGAGCGCGCTACACAGCGCGCTCCCAGCACGAAGACCGGGGTGTCACTGAAAGCCCCAGGTTCCGTTCTAACGATCGGGACCCGGGACTCCTAATTCCGGGTCACATGATCGCTGTGATAGCCTCTGATTGGCTATCACAGTGATCAGTCACTGTACAGCCCAGCCCCCTTTTTTTTTATTCTCTATGAATGGAGGAGAGAGATACATTGCATCTCTTTAACTCCTGGCATAGAGAGAAAAAAAACATGTTTGTTAAAAAAGAAAAAAAAAAAAGAAAAATAAATAAAGAAATATTAAAAAATAAAGAAAAAATACCTAGATCAAGGTTTGATCTAGTTCAGTGCCAGGGTTAGTGTTTGGGACAAGGTCAGGGTCAAAGGTCAAGGTCAAAGGTCATTTTTCTTTTTTTTTATTGGTATCCGTGTCAGTTAGTGTCAGTGTGTTTTAGGTAAGAAAGAAACCAAAAAACAAAATGTGCACTAATATTTCTGGGTTGTACTACGGGTACAAACAAAAAATAACACACATATATGGTATTGTTGCGATCGTCAAAAGCTAAAAAATTATTTTGGGTTGTTCTTTGGTGGTAGGTTATGGTAGTAACAAGAAACACACAGATAAGTTTAAAAAAAATTATTTTTTTTACTAGTTTGGGCCAGTTTTCCTTTTTATTTAAAAAAAAAATAAATAAATCAGGTGATATCCATGACCATTTACCACCAAATGAAAGCCCAATTTGTCCTGAAAAAAAACAAGGTATAATTCACCTGGATGTACAAAGTAGTTGTGATGATATGTACGGTTTTACTAACATACGTCAACATTGCAAAATTGTGCTTAGGCATTAAGATTTGTTTTACCCTTAGGCGTGATGGGGTTAAACAAACCGAAGAAAGCGAAGGAGCCTGGAGACTACTTGACGGGCCCTTTTCAGGAGCTACGGTTACATGGACGCTAAGTGCTTAAAGACTTTTTTGTTATTTTTCTGTATGTATCAGGGGCAGACTGACAACTGGGCAATAGAGGATCATGGGGCCCCTGTGTCCTTGCCCACACTCATAAAAGCCTATAAAAAAGGTACCAGGGGCATTTCATGGGGCCCCCTACTGACCCCGGGCCCTCGGGCAGTGCCTGAGTGCTCGAATGGTCAATCCGCCCCTGGTATGTATCCTGATTGATGAGTCTGATTTCTCTTCACTCCCTGTCTCAGAAACACAACAGAAAGTCACTGGAAATGTCTACAAATAAGGGGAACAATGGTCTCCAGGGCAAATGGACAGGATGAATTTCCCCAGAAGGGATATAAACCAGTCCTTCCCTTCTCTATCCAAAAAAACAAGTTATAGGTGGGGGATTATGGGACTGTTTTTGGGGTTTAAAGTGCCAATGACCACTAATGACGGGGAAGGCAATGAGGGGTTTAAAGTGCCAATGACCACCAATGACGGGGAAGGTGATGGGGGATTTAAAGTGCCAATGACCACTAATGACGGGGAAGGCAATGAGGGGTTTAAAGTGCCAATGACCACTAATGATGGGGAAGGCGATGAGGGGTTTAAAGTGCCAATGACCACTAATGACGGGGAAGGCGATGGGGGATTTAAAGTGCCAATGAACACTAATGACGGGGAAGACGATGGGGGATATAAAGTGCCAATGAACACTAATGACGGGGAAGGCGATGGGGGATTTAAAGTGCCAATGACCACTAATGATGGGGAAGGCGATAAGGGATTTAAAGTGCCAATGACCACTAATGACAGGGAAGGCGATGGGGGATTTAAAGTGCCAATGACCACTAATGACGAGGAAGGCGATGGGGGATTTAAAGTGCCAATGACCACTAATGACGGGGAAGGCGATGAGGGATTTAAAGTGCCAATGACCACTAATGACGGGGAAGGCGATGGGGGATTTAAAGTGCCAATGACCACTAATGAAGGGGTAGGCGATGGGGGATTTAAAGTGCCAATGACCACTAAAGACGGGGAAGGCAATGGGGGATTTAAAGTGCCAATGACCACTAATGACGGCGATGAGGGATTTAAAGTGCTAATGACGGGGAACGATGGGGGATTTAAAGTGCAATGACCACTGATGATTACGAGACAGTTTTTTTGGGTGGAGGAATTCGATTGCACTGACTGATACTTATTATAGGCAGAATTCAAACAGGGGACATGGCATGGATGGAGCTAGGCTGAAGCCGCTTCGACTCTGCGACACTTGGGCTGCTTGCTAAGAGTGTGCCTTTCTGTTTATTTCCTCCTCAAGTGTCTATCAAGCCGGGACGGGCTCTTCTCATACCAGCAACCTATCCAGTGAGACTCACCAGAGTGCATTGGATGAGGGCTTGGAGCGGCACCCAATGTTTTTCAAAGTTATGGTCACAGGGGGAATTTGATTGCTACTGATTGCAAATAATTAAGGGCGGTGGAGGAATGGGAGGTTTAAACTGCCTCTAAAAGCCAATGTGGGGGTTTAAAGTGCCTTATCCACCAATAGTTGTGGGATTATTTGGGGTGTTAGAAATGATAGTTTTGAGTTGATCCACAACATCTAGCCATTTCACACAATATAATTTAATCTTCCTGAGAACTTTCTTTCATTAATAATGGACGGCTTGCACTTGGATCCAGTAGGCCACTTTTAAAGGCTAAGAGCACTTCAAGCAAGCTAAAGGTCATCCAGTTAGGGTTAAGGCCTGCTTTAGAACATTTAAATATTGAGAATACAGTGTTTAACTATGTGTATATTCAAGAAGGCAAAGACAAGGCAGGACAAGGTGGGAATATTCTCAGATCACTTACCAATATTTGGATTATTAGACATGAGAGAGAAGGAGCACACATTTTCCTGGGCTGTGGTGAGTTTGGCAGTTGGGGAGGTCATGGAGGTCATGGTGATGAATCCCTTATTGGCGGTGGAGGAACTCATCATTGGATCAGTCTTTGGGTGCACGGTTGAGATAAACGTGGTGCTCCCCTTATCACCGGCGGTTGAATGAACTGCAATTTGATCCCGATATGTTGTTGCATTCACCTCCATCAAATGTTGATCCCTGATAGTGCTCAAGTGGGTAGACTCTGTGTTACTGGTGTGTGTCGTTGTCACCTTTGGATCTTTTGCTGAGATTGTCGGATTCGGAGACACCGTGTTCCTTGTTTCAGGTGGAGCTGGCTGTGTATTGACTGCTGTTGGTGTGCTTGATACAATCTGTCCATTTGTGGGAATTTTGGGGGCAGAAACGGGGGATGTCACATGATTTGTTGGAGGAGTCGGTTGAGGCAGCTCAATGGCAGGTTGTGTGGTGACCTTTGTGATATGTTCTGCAGTTGAGGAGGTGGTTGGAGGGGAAGTATCTATAGAGATTGTAGAATATGTTCCACCAGCGATTTCTGTGCTTGCCATGGATGCTATCGATAAATTGCCTATGACCGGACCTGTAAGGAGATGACCGATTAGTTTTAGGAAGAAAAAAACTGATGGCAACAGACGCGCAGATTTCGCTGGCAGAGACATCAGTTTACATTCGCGATGCAATGAGTTTTATACACGTTGCAGATTCCTTTGCAGAAAAAATCTGCCGGTGATACTAGTGTTGTGGTGTGAACAGGGCACATAGAGGACAATTGATTTGATTGTACCCTTGTAGAATGCGTGCAGAAAAACTGACGTCTTCACCATGGTGTGAACTAATCCTTGAGCCAAAAATGAACTTTCAGTACAAGGCTACATTCGCACTGAGCTGAGCATTTTCAGTTTTGTTTTTCAAAGCACTTTTGAGTGTTTTTTTTTTTTGCAAATATTACAAGCGTTTTTTCAGGTGTTTTCTAGGCATTTTTGCTGTGGCTAACAAAAACTTGTGTAGATGTGTCCTAGGCACATACAGCAAGAAACCAGAATCAAGCACTTGGCTGCTATACACAGAAGTTATGTACCTTTCTCCTTGATCTGGGGAGCAGTGTAGCTGTTCCACTGGGGCAGCAAGTTTCTGCACGTGGTTGCAGTGCAGTGGTGTGGTATTTTGAGGGTTAAAGCAGGTGGTCAAACACCCTCTGAAAAGTGATCCACTGCAGAGTGTTTTTCAGAGGGGTGGCAGTATTGCCACACATGTGAATGAATCCTTAGAACCAGAGCTCTCTAATTGGCAGGAAAGACGGCTATATTCCATTTTACTCTATTCTGTTCTTTTCTATTTTTATTCTCTTGTTCTTTTATTCTCTTCTATTTCTTTATTTTTACTCTATTCTTTTATTTTCTATTCTGTTGTACTTTATTCTTTTCTATTCAATTCTGTTTTAATCTATTCTTTTCAAAATTAAAATTTTGGAAATTGGCTATATTTTTTCTATTTTATTTGAAATTCAAATTTCGGAAGGCTATATTCTACTTTATTCTATTCCTTTATTTTCTATTCTATCCTTTTTGAAATTCAAATCTGGAAAGATGACTATATTCTTTCCATTTCGTTTTATTCTATTAATCTCGAATTTCAGAAGACAGATATACTCTATTCTGTTCTATTTTATTTTTTATTCTATTAAGTTTTATTTTATTTTTTATTCTATTATATTCAAAATTTGATATTCAGAAGATGGCTATTCTGTTTTATTATATTTTTTTCTATTTCATTCTTTTTTTGAAATTTGAATTTCAGAAGATGGCTATTCTGTTCTATTATATTTTTTTTCTATTTCATTCTTTTTTTGAAATTTGAATTTCAGAAGATGGCTATTCTGTTCTATTATATTTTTTTCTATTTCATTCTTTTTTTGAAATTTGAATTTCAGAAGATGGCTAAATAATTCTATTCGAAATTTGAATTTGAAATTCAGATTTTGAAAGACAGCTATATTCTATTATTCTAATCGAAGTTCAAATTTTAAAATGCGAATTTTGGAAGATGGCTATATTCTATTTTATTCTATTTTTTTATTCTATTCTTTTATTTTCTATTCTGTTTTACTTTATTCTTTTCAATTCTGTTTCATTCTATTCTTTTCAAAATTAAAATTTTGGAAAATGGCTACATTTTTTCTATTTTATTTGAAATTCTAATTTCGGAAGAAGTCTATATTCTACTTTATTTTATTCATTTATTTTCTATTCTATCCTTTTTGAAATTCAAATTTCGGAAGATAACTATATTTTTTCCATTCCGTTTTATTCTATTAATCTCGAATTTCGGAAGACAGCTATATTCTATTATATTTTATTCTATTATAATCATTTCTATTTTTTATTCTATTAAGTTTTATTTTACTCTATTATGTTCAAAATTTGAATTTCAGAAGATGGCTATTCTGTTTTATTCTATTTTTCTCTATTTTATTCTATTCCATTCTTTTTGAAATTCAAATTTCAGAAGATGGCTATATACTTTCTATTTTATTCTATTCTATTCAATTCAAAATTCGAATTCGAATTCTGAAAGACGGCTATATTCTTTCTATTGTTCTATTTGAAGTTCAAATTTTAAAATGCAATTTTTGGAAGATAGCTATATTTTAATTTATTCTACTTTTTTATTCTATTCTTTTATTTCTATTCTATTCTTTTCTATTTCTTTATTTTCTATTCTATTTTTTTCTATTCCTTTATTTTCTGTTCTATACTTTTATTTTCTATTCTTTTCTTTTCCTTTATTTTCTATTCTATACTTTTATTTTCTATTCTTTTCTATTCCTTTATTTTCTATTCTATACTTTTATTTTCTATTCTATTCTTTTCGAAAAAAATCTCATTTCGAAAGATGGCTATATTCAAATACACACAGTCTTTGAAGGAAATCAGCAATAGTCAGCAATACTGTATGTTTACATTTTGAATTTGTGTTCAAATTCAACCTCATTTTTTATTCATTTTGAATTCGATTCAAATTTGGATAATTCGTTATTTCTGACTAATTGCGTTTTCATTATTTTGGATTCATTTAAATTCGTTACTATTGTAATTCAGAAATTCAGATACATCTGAATCTCCTAATAACAAAAATGTCATCCGAATTTCAATCCGGAACAAAATGAACACCACATGTCTAGTTGGCGCAAAGAAAATGGAAAACTGTATAAAATACTTACTGTAATTTTCCTTTCTTTGCAGTAGTATGCTGCCATGTTGATACCAGGAAAATTGTATTACATACCAGGAGCGGACTGACCATTTGGAAACTCAGGCACTGCCCGAGGGCCCGGGGTCAGTAGGGGGCCCCATGAAATGCCCCTGGTACCTTTTTCATAGGCTTTTTTTGAGTTTGGGCAAGGACACAGGGGCCCCACGATCCCCTATTGCCCGGGGCCCCATGAGTTGTCAGTCCGCCCCTGTTACATACTTACTGTAATTTTACTTGTTTTGATTTTACTTTCCTGGCACCAGTCCATAGCAGCATACATGTATTGTGCCATGTTGGCTCCAGGAAAAAACATATTTTTTCAGGGGCGGACTGACAACTCATGGGGCCCCCGGGCAATAGGGGATCATGGGGCCCCTGTGTCCTTGCCCAAACTCCAAAAAGCCTATGAAAAAGGTACCAGGGGCATCTCATGGGGCCCCCTACTGACCCCGGGCCCTCAGGCAGTGCCTGAGTTTCTAAATAGTCAGTCCGCCCCTGATCGCCCTTGTGTGTTAGGTTTTCCTCACTTCCTATCCTGGTGATATCTTTGGCGCTCCTATAAAACACATTGGGATTGATTTACTAAAAGTGGTGCACTCAGAATCTGGTGCAGCTGTGCATGGCAGCCAATCAGCTGCTAACCTCAGCTTGTTCAATTACGCTTTGATAATAAAACCTGGAAGCTGGGTGGTTTCTATGCAGAGCTGCACCAGATTTTGCACTCTCCAGTTTTAGTAAATCTCCCCCATTGCACCTAAAACTAGTAGTTCTACACTTGTAGAATTTTGTTCAAATATTTCTGTTTTAAGAATCTTCCTTTCATTTTCTAATGGTTACTGTAGTCAAATCAAAGTTTGCTTTAACCGCTTTCCCACCAGACTATAGCAGAAATATTGCAGCAGGGCGACGGGGATGTGCAAAATCACGTCTATATACATGATTTTGCATTTCTGGGTAGGCCATTGGCAGCCTCAGCTGTTGATCACCGAGTCCCGGCTGGTGATTTCCCTCCAGCGGTCGCAGACTATCACTGACAGGGGAGAGGTCTGTAAACAATACAGATCTCTCCCCTCTCAGCTCCAGCACGCTGCTTTGTATGGCTCTGCATAGCAGAGCTGTACAAAGCAGTGTGCTTACAGTGTAAGGCACGCAAACAGGGCAGCAGGGCTGCGCAAAGTCATGTGTATATATACATGATTTGCATTTCCGGGTGGGGGGGCATGCGTGCTGCCCTACCCGCGCCGCCGTTGATGTCAATCACCTGGTCCTTGCCGGAGATTCTCCACCGACACCCGGCGTTCGTCGAGTAACAGTGACAGGGGAGAGGCCTGTGTGTAAACAACACGGGTCTCTCTCCTGCCAGCAGCAACATGCTGCTGTGTATTAGTCTGCACAGCAGAGAAATACACAGCAGCATGTTTCCCTAGTAAAACACAGCACACAGTTAACCCTTTGATCACCCCAAATGTTAACCCCTTCCTTCCCAGTGTCTTTAGTACAGTGTCAGTGCTTTTTATTAACACTGATCACTGTATTATTAATGTCATTGGGGATGTCAGTGACAGTCAGTACTCCCCCAGTGTCAGAATGCCCACCGCAGTCCCGCTATAAGTCGCTCATCGCCTCCATTACTGGTATAAAAAAAAAAGAAAATTCCAGTATCTATACAGCCATTTTAGACGCTATAAATTTCACTTATACCAATTAATTTACATGTTTGGGATTATTTTTAGCAAAGACATGGAGCAGAATACATTTTGGCCTAAATTTATGACAAAATCAGATTTTTAAAAGTGTCGATATTTTTTTGTTTAAACCGCAAAAAAATAAAAAATGCAGAGGCGATCAAAAAAAAGAGCTCTATTTGTGGGAAAAAAAAGGATGTAAATTTCATTTGAGTGCAGTATTGCATGACCGTGCAATTGTCAGTTAAAGTAACGCAGCGACGTAACGCAAAAAATGGCCTGGTCAGGAAGGGGAGTAAATCCTCTGGAAGTCAAGTGGTTAAACCACAACGGCGAGGAAAATTCAAAGAACTAATGAATTTCGATCAATGAATGTGGTTTTCATTTGGGAAATTACGTTCATTCCAAAATTGAATGTTAAAAGCAAAATAAAATTTTGAAGGTACTTTTGAAGAGATATTTAAATATCCTGAGAATTTGAAAATCCACTAGTGTATAACCAGCTTTATAACTTAGAGAAGTGAAATGGCCGTAGGGCCACCATATCAGATCGACGCCCTCTCACTGCTTGTTTTAACCCTGTAAATGGCGCACCAACGCAGTTGAGGGGTATTTGTGGTGCATCCCCATTTGTTTGGGGTGGTACAGCCTGTAGAATGTGCCACGAGCCAATGTTGATACCAGGAAAATTGTATTACATACATACCGTAATTTTACTTTCCAATAAGCAAAGCATTGCGACCACACCCCCCATCTCCTGCCTTTATAGCTTATGGAAGGGCAGTTGGGGGGGTGCTAACGGGTTTTTAATGCCTGCCCCCCCCCCCCCAGCTGTCTAAACGAGCCCTTACCTTCACATTTCCTTCCAGGTCTGCTGGGGTCTTGGTCGATGTACGTCAGATGGCACTCGCAGGTGAATGTAGTCTGTAGATCTATACAGTCTGCATGGATGTTGCAGTCATTATCCAGAGGAGACTGGCATTCGTTGAAATCTGAAACCCAAATAAAGCAATTACAGGAGTGTGACGGGAGTGACTTGGGTGGGGTGCCCATGGGGGAGGAGTGGGGAAACCTTTGTCTCAGCTCCCCATGTTCTATTATGTGTAAGTTACCCTGTGCCTGTTAGTGGTACAGGGTGAAATGTTCTAATATTGGGGTGGGGGGTTGTTCATTGTTCACTGCCATGCAGCTGCATCCCATTGTTCTATTGTGTGTCTTGCTTGGGAGCAAACTATTATGGGATGTAAATGCCCTTTGATGTACCTTGATGTGTCCTGGGGTTGTTCATTGTTCTATGTTAAAACTGCCATGCGGCTGCATGCCCATTGTTCTATTGTGTGTCTTGCTTGGGAGCAAACTATTATGGGATGGGTCCGGTTGTTTAAGGAGGTTCCGGCAGATTCCCCTTCCCCCTGATGGGAACGACCTGCTGTATTCTGATGTGTTTCCTGTCTGGGTGTGTATTTCCCCGCCCTGTGTATTATATCTTGTATCTATGTTAAAAAATAAAGCAGTCTATGTCCTGTCAATTTCCTACAAGTCTGGTGCTGTCTCGTCTTGTATGGCCAGGCGGTGGTGTTCGTGGATCTGTGTGTTTGGACGGGGAAGCGGGAGGAAACGAAACGAAAATACCAAAGTGCAGTCTGGGTCCGGTTCCGTTATAAGGAGGTTCAAAACAATGGGCCCTTCTCTGCTAATAAAAAAGTTCTATTGGTTTCCCTTTTATGATGCCCATACAGTCCTATACATTCAGCTATAATCAACCAATGTATTTATTTATTTGATGACTGCATGAATTTCCTTTTATTTCTTTTATTCTCGGAACCTGGTGATTCCTGCCAGTAAGGGCATCCATGCAGGATATGCAATTGAGGAGGGAGTTTTCCTGCAGCCACAGGTTAAAGGAAACGTGCGGATTTTGGCGAAAATCTGCCCGATTCCCCATCAGAACACAGTCGGAGAAGTCAATGGGGGTGGTGTCCGGGCTGGGGGGAAGACAAGAAAAGTGTTGATTGAGGAATCCCTCCCACCATGCTATTGTCGTATTCTGACAGTGGGGAGGAGAAGGGGCCCGAGGACAGAGCCTTCCCCGTTGTCAGAATAACAATGATCACTGACTAGGTCAGGTATAGCCACCAGCAGCGATTCTTAAAAAAAAAAAAAAACCCAACAGGCTGGTTGTACTGGAGACGATTGACGGATTGCCTTCAGTATAAATTGTCTGCCCATACATGGATGGAAATTCAGCCGGCTGCTGCTTAACTGGACAAATTTTGATCCGTCTATGGCCGGCCTAATGCATTTCCCGTCCTAGGGTGACAACGCTCACTCACTTTATTGTATCAATGGAACAGCAGTGTTGTCAGGCAGCAATAAAAACGTAAAGCGGGATGAAACTGTATGTGAGAACCACAAACTGAAAAATGTATTCAATTCATTTGTATTATTTGAAGCAAATTCGCCCATTCATCCATGTCTCCAACCATTTATATTGCTGAGAAATCACTTTGAAAAGCCCCCTCCAGCATTTCTAGCCCAGGCCATCTTAAGTAGAGGAAAATGGCCAAAATGATTCATGTAGCATTTGGAGTACTTCCTGGAATCCAACTGCCCTTAGCTCAGGCATGCAGGCAGGAGGGTGTGCTTAGCTGAGAAAGTCCCTCCTCCTCTCCTCCAGATGGCAGAAAAAGACTGTCCATGAAGACTCCTGGGATGTATGCCAACTCATACACTCTCACGGCTTCAACTACCACCTCTATGCCGACGACACACAAATCTTTCTCTCAACCCCCCACCTCACCCCCTCAGTCTCCGCCCGAATCACACACCTACTGAGCGACATATCAGACTGGATGTCGCTCCACTTCCTTAAATTGAACCTCTCCAAAACCGAGTTTCTTGTCTTCCCCCCAGCCCGGACACCACCCCCCATTGACTTCTCCATCACATCCAACAACGCCACCATCAAACCCGCCCCGCAGGCCAGAGTACTTGGTGTCATTCTTGACTCCAATCTATCCTTCCAGCCCCAAGTCCAATCACTAACAAACTCATGCAGACTCCACCTCCGCAACATTGCCAAAATCCGCACGTTCCTAACCCCAGAAACCACTAAACAGCTCATCCACTCCCTCATCATATCACGACTCGACTACTGCAACTCCCTCCTCACTGGCCTGCCTCGCCGCTGGCTATCCCGCTTCAGTCCATCCTGAATACGGCTCCCAGACTCATTCACCTTTCCAACCGCTCCATTTCCGCCACCCCCCTCTGCCAATCCCTCCACTGGCTTCCGATTGCGCAACGGATCAAATTCAAAATCCTAACACTGACGTACAAAGCTGTCCACCATACTGCCCCGAACTACATCACTGACCTAATATCCAAGTACCGCCCAGCACGCACACTCTGCTCCTCACAAGACCTCCTTCTCTCTAGTTCCCTGGTCTCCTCCTCCCATGCCCACCTCCAGGACTTCTCCAGGGTGTCACCCATCCTCTGGAACTCCCTGCCCCAACCCATCAGATTATCACCTACTCTCCTCTCCTTTAGGCGTACCCTGAAAACCCATCTCTTCAGGGAAGCCTACCCCACCCCCTGCTAACTTGCCGACTTCCTCCACTCTTCCTACCACTCCATCCCCCACAGCTATCTCCTCCTGTACCACCATCCCCTCCCTCCTAGATTGTAAGCTTGAAAGAGCAGGGCCCTCGATCCCCTCATGTTTTGCATTGTATTGGTATTGTTCTGTCACATGTTCTGTCCCCCTTTGTACTGTACAGCGCTGAGCGAACTATTGGCGCTTTATAAATACTGTATAATAATAATAATGTATGACATCATTTTGGCCTAGGCCAGAAACCAGGAAGCAACTGAAGAAATGTAAAAAAGAAAAAAGAAAAAAAAAGAAAGTTTAAGGGCCCATTCACACTGGGAACTGCATGTGAATCGCACAGGAGTGCTATGTGGTTCTTAGTCTATTAGTAATAAATTGAGCAGGGTTTTGCACTACATAGTAGAGGACAGATCTACAGGAGATTGGACAATCAGATTGTATTGTGTATAGTCACCCTTAAAGTGACACTATACAGAATCCTTATTCTCCAAAAATAATCCATACACATTCGCTACTTAATGGCCCTGTAATCTATTTTTCTAAATCATTTCTTACTGTGTTTTTCTGCCTCCTTGTAACATCCTCTGTGAGCTCCCAAACCTCTCCTATTTCCTCAAATTTCCATTTGTTTGGAATGAGCAGCATGGGTCCTGTGCACTGCTCAATGCAAACTACAAATCCTGTAGTACATACAGTAGACCATCTCAGGAGCAAGCGAGAGAGGTTGGCTACATTCCTACATACAGGGGGACCACAGAGAACGAACGTAGCCACACTCCAACAGGAAGTCAGGTCATAGTAGCAAAAAAAAAAAAAAGGAATTTGGAGATTTGGAGGCGGCTGAGACCAATAGAAGGGACTTTTCTAACTTCAAGTGGAACTTCAGTTTCTTAGTCAACATGGACTATTTTGCATCCTTATGCTGCTAGCTTTAGTAAATAGATAGGAACGTATATTATACTTACTAGTTTTATACTGTTTTTTTACATTATTTAGTTACTTCCTGGTTTCCATGCCTAGGCAAATGAGGTCATACATCCCAGGATTCTTCAAGAGGAGGGAGGGACTTTCTTAGCTAAGCACACCCCCCTGTCTGTATGCCTGAGCTAAGGGCAGATGGATTACAGGAAGTAATTGCTACGTGAATAATCTGCCCTTACTCAAGATGGCCACAACCAGAAATGCCCAGGGGGTGTTTTTATAAGTAATTTCTCAGCAAAATAAAGCATGGAGACATGAATGGATGGGGGAGTTTGTTTTGAATATTAAAAATAAATTAAATAGTGTTTTTGGTTTGTGGTGCTCAGATGCAGTTGTTCCACTTTAAGAATGCACATCTGAATAGAATTTTTTTTTAGGGCTTGTTCACACTTGACTACATTTCTAACACTTGCACTAACCAAACGCTCCTATAGCATTAGTATAGGCAGGGCTTTTTTCCCTCCTTGTCTCCACCCCCTACCCACCTCTGAGCACCGTCCTTTGGTTCCGCCCTCTACCCACCTCTGAGCACCGTCCCTTGGTTCTACCCTCCACCCACCTCTGAGCACCCGTCCCTTGGTTCCACCCTCTACCCACCTATGAGCACCATCCTTGGTTCCACCCTACCCCCTATGAGCACCGTCTCTTGTTCTACCCTCTACCCACCTATGAGCACCATCCCTTGATTCCGCCCTCTACCCACCTCTGAGCACCGTCCCTTGGTTCCGCCCTCTACCCACCTCTGAGCACCATCCCTTGGTTCCGCCCTCTACCCACCTCTGAGCACCATCCCTTGGTTCCGCCCTCTACCCACCTCTGAGCACAATCCCTTGGTTCCGCCCTCTACCCACCTATGAGCACCATCCCTTGGTTCTGCCCTCTACCCACTTCTGAGCACCATCCCTTGGTTCCGCCCTCTACCCACCTCTGAGCACCATCCCTTGGTTCCGCCCTCTACCCACCTCTGAGCACCATCTCTTGATTCTGCGCTCTACCTACCTAAATTTCTAACACTTGCACTAACCAAACACTTGCATTATAGCATTAGTATAGGCAGGGCTTTTTTCCCTTATTTCCCTCCTTGTCTCCACCCTCTACCCAGCTCTGAGCCCCATCCCTTGGTTCTGCCCTCTACCCACCTCTGAGCACCATCCCTTGGTTCCGCTGTCTACCCACCTCTGAGCACCATCCCTTAATTCCGCCCTCTACCCACCTCTGAGCACCATCCCTTGGTTCCGCCCTCTACCCACCTCTGAGCACCATCCCTTGGTTCCGCCCTCTACCCACCTCTGAGCACCATCCCTTGGTTCCGCCCTCTACCCACCTCTGAGCACCATCCCTTGGTTCCGCCCTCTACCCACCTCTGAGCACTGTCTCTTGGTTCTGCAATCTACC